GGCTCCGGTGGCGGCAAGGGCAACGGTGGAGAAGGCACATTCGGTTGGCTTAGTGATCCACCACTCTTCCTCTGCACCGTGTGTTCGACTAGCTCTGGTTGTGTCGGTGGTAGAGGGAGCGGGTTCTTGCGTGGTCTTCCCCGCTTCGGGCGCTTCGCTTTTGCTGCGTCCGGCAGCATGTGAAGTGGTACATGCTGCTTGATACTTTGTTTTTCCCTTGATCTCTTTAGTTCCGTATTTCCACTGATGATCGGAACGTGAAAATCGATTTTGGAAACACACAAAACCAAACCTTGAACAAATTGTCATGTTGCGTGGTGATGTCTGCGGCATTCATACTTTTCATTGCTATTATTAAACTTTATCTCCACGTAGATTATTATTATTATTATTATTTTAACTGGTTTGAGGGAAAGAGACAAACGGGAAAAGTCTGAAGAAAAAATTGACTGTCACCACCAGGACTCGAACCAGGGACCCTCGCTTGTAGCCAGCGATGCTCTAACCACTGAGCTATGGTGTAGTCGTCATCCCAGCAGCGGCTGTTCAACATTTTCTTCAGACTTCTTCAGATTATTATTATTATTTTTTATTTTATTAACTGGTTTGAGGGAAAGAGACAAACGGGAAAAGTCTGAAGAAAAAATTGACTGTCACCACCAGGACTCGAACCAGGGACCCTCGCTGGCAGCCAGCGATGCTCTAACCACTGAGCTATGGTGTAGTCGCCATCCCAGCAGAGGCCGGTCAACATTTTCTTCAGACTTCGTAACTCACACTTCCTGTGAATCCACAGAGCTAGAGGCGGGTGGGACGCAGCCCTCACTGTAACCCACACACTTCACGTACAAACTAGCACGCGGGGAGCCCCAAGTCATAAAATATTAACTGGTTTGAGGGAAAGAGACAAACGGGAAAAGTCTGAAGAAAAAATTGACTGTCACCACCAGGACTCGAACCAGGGACCCTCGCTTGTAGCCAGCGATGCTCTAACCACTGAGCTATGGTGTAGTCGCCATCCCAGCAGAGATTATTATTATTATTATTATTAATATTGACAGGCAAGTAACATGATGGCGGAGGACACACTAGTACATGACTGTACTGACATGTCGACAGTCTTTACATGTATGTATACCGGTAACTACTTTGTTGAGATCCGTGGAGTGCTCCTTATTTTGTAGACCAGTACTCATTGGTACTGGTCCGCATAGGCTGTAGATCTGATACTATGTAGAGTGAAACCCGGCTGCTCTTACTCTTAGACGACCGCTCAAGAGAACTTCAAAATGTGGCCCCGTTACCAGGTCGTCTCCTTATCCAGGGTTATTTTACTGGAAAATCATTAGGGGCTGAATCGGGTAGCATTTTCTTCAGGTTTCGGGTCCGGGTAGTTTTCCACGGGTAGCACGGGTAGCCGATCGGGTAATGTTTCCATGGTAAGACCACAATGCACACCGACCCCTTCCCTTACTGGGCCTTAGTCCTTACACACTGGGTAGACATGCGTATTTGTACAAGTGCACTCTACTTCAGCTCTACTCCTTCTACATGATGTCATCTGCGACTTCGGGTTTTCGGGTACGATTCGGTACCCGTCTACCCGAGGTCCTCACGGGTAGCACGGGTACCCGACTACCTGGACCCGCGCACACCACTAAAAATCATCCCTTGATCCTGGTTTCAGTGGTCTTCTTGCCAATCTTGGACAGGTGGTAGCCTTATCCGAGTGGTCGCCTTGATAGGTTACACTGTACATGTTCATGTTCAAAACGGGTTTATTCAAGCAATACGACATGGAAAGAAGGAAGAAAACCAAAGATACAACTTACAAGGGATGAAAATCGACGATGAAATCAAAATGAAAATTTGAAAAAAGTCTAATCCAAAGAAACTCAAGGCCAGTGACTATCACACAATCTACCACACACACAAAATCTACCACATGTAGTACTACTACTAGTACTAGCAGCACTAGCAGGCTAGTGAGTGGAGATCGATGTCTCCAGTCAGACTACAAACGTACCGGTCATGTGCAGCGGCATGACCTCGATTTCCTACACGTGATACAGCATTCGCACCTCCCTTGCGCCTTGGCCTTGTACTTTGTTGTAGTTGTACGTGAGTATGCCGTAGATGTCTGTGTAGCCTGTAGGAAATCGATGTGGAGATGTACATAGTCATTGTACATGTACCGACCGTACCGTGGCTGCGTTCCACCGACCGTGGATTCTACGCGGTGGCGTTCCCCCCATGTGCGTGGATGGCCAGCTTCAAGTGGAGGCAATCTAGCAAGAACGCCAGTGCCGGCGCATTCTATTCAGCACAACTGCGAGTCTGCCTTGCCTCATTCCCGCTACACAGTCAGTGCAGTGCAGCTCTAGTTCAAGTAGTTGCGCTCCGCTAGCTGAGGCCATGAGCTGGCCTTACGGAGTCTCTGATGATCGCACTACATGTACTTGTGATTTCAAGTGCTGCTTGTGTTAGGTAGCGAATGGCTTAGTTGTTCGCGTAATGTTGGGCAGTTGCAACTCCTTATCTGCAGGTCTAAAACTAGAAGTAGTGAGGGCTTGGAAAATGCTCTGGTGCGCTTTCGGCCATGTACAGCACTCACATCTAGCTGACAACTCCATGCAACAGTGGTGAACGGATGTCGAGAGAGCAACATCGTCCGTCCGCCGTGGCACGACACCAACTCCGCTTGACTTTCAACTTTGCTTCGCCTGTGGCGGAGTGCGACGTGTTGCAGCTCAGGCCTAGCCTGTTTTCTCCAAGAACGTTTCTCAGTGTGACTGTTGGCAGCAGCACGCAGGGCTAGCAGAGCGCACCAGCGTTTTGGCAATATTTACGCCAAGCCTTCGAGAGGCGTGGATCTGCTGGCCGTCGCTCCGTCAGCAGCAGCTTGGGCCATGAGGGTGGCGATGCTCGCCTTCGCCCTGGCGTTGGCTTGCTGCGAAATCATCCAATCTGCCACTGTGCAGTATGAGCAGATCTCGTTGCTGCGAGCCCACAGCTCGACGTGTTCGGACGCATCGCGCTGCCCTCAGATTGAAGAAACATTTCAGAGTGAGCCGGATGCTGTTGGTAGAATCGGTCATTCTTCTCTCAAGAAATGGAACGGGCATATTCTGGAACTTCAACTTTCTGAGGTGAGTTTGAAAATGGCTTGCGTCCATGTCGTTGTGCGACACATACTCGACGTCGTTGTCTTGTCCCTAAAAAGGTCTTGTACCCTTCCACGTGTGCGGCATTGCGCGGAACGAATTTCTCAACTATTTCTGCCGGAAACGTTCATCTTCCGGTGCTACCTTTACAGTGCAATTGGCCTAGGTAAAGGCATGAGATGACCTTCGGGTGCTAGTAGTAGTAGTAGTAGTAGTAGTAGTAGTAGTAGTAGTAGTAGTAGTAGGTTTTTGTATCTTTTCTCCTCGCTGGAAAGTTGGTTTCGGATATGTCTGTGTAAGAAGGCAATTACTTGTAAATCAGTGATTCACCCATGTCACAGCGTGTCGTTTTGTACTCATGAAAATTCCGATCAGCTGAGATCCCCTGTTCGACCTGCTACTGTAGTATTCCACCTGATTAGCGTGGTTCATACCTCTTTCTTGTGGTCGTGGTGTGAATACATGGGCCGGTGTGAGGGAGCTGTGCATGTGTGCTATCTTTGAAAAACCTCGTCGGTTTCGCTGCGACAAGCTTGTCAGCGCGAGACACTAGCAACGAAATCACCTTCTGTTGGGCCTACAATTATTTCGTTGCCTTTATCTTTGCGCCGGTGAGCAACTGGGGCAATACTGTAGTGCTATGCAGTCATGATCTTATCCATGCCCCATCACTGGTTGAGGATAATAATGATAATGATGTGCATCGAGTACAGTAATTGTAAAAGCAAGCAATATTATTATTTGAGGGAATTGAAAAAACAAGAAAAGTCTGAAGAATAAATAAAACTGACTGCCAGTTCAACTACGCTGTGCTCCTGGTCTTCTTGTAGTCTTTGTACAGCAGGGTAATACTAGTGCCAATGGCTCAGTGGTGCAATGAAGTTCGTGATGGTAGAATATCATGCGAATAAATTTGGCCAGCAGTGGATGACTGGATAGCTGATAAGTGATGAGGAAATGCTATGTCAGTGCGCAAGGATTCAGTGTCACTTCACCAGCCCTGTGCTTAGTAAACCAGGTCTAAAGTCTAACCACCAGCAGTCCAGCAATATCATAGAGCACATGGCAGTGTCTCATGCACATACACACACACACACACACACACACACACACACACACACACACACACACACACACACACACACACACACACACACACACACACACACACACACACACACACACACACACACACACACACACACACACACACACACACACACACACACACACACACACACACACACACACACACACACACACACACATACTTCCTGTAACTTGGGAGACAGTTCCGATTTGGGACTCTTGCGTTGTTGCGGACTCTTGAAATCCTTCTGTGCCAGTAAAGTTTTCTCTTGCGGACTCTTGAAATACTTGATTTTAGAGCAAAAAGTACTGTACCAGTAAAGTTTATGGAAAACCCTGGGTTGTGCTCAGCTGGACTACTTGGAATTCCAGATGTCCTGAGCATCCAGATTGGTGCTATGTGTAGGACCATGCTCTATTTCTCAGGAAATCTCTTTCCTCTTACTCTTAGTCTCCGCCAGCACACGGTCCCACTTGAAAAGGATGAAGCTGAAGCTGATGCAAAGCTCTGCCAAGCAATGGGGCACGCACTCATGTTCATGTTTAATGGCTCTTGAACTCCTCGACATAGTCTCCAGGGGAACATCAACAAGAAATCGGGCAGTAAACTGAAAACCACTACTAATCTAGATGATGTTGCACATAAGCCACTGAGTCTCCTTTTTTCCGAAATCAGGGAGGGGTGGGGGGGGGGGGGTCGTGTGATGAAGAACCTAGTAAATTCATGGTAGTGAATCTCACCTGCCAGCTCCACATAATCATACTGGTATGCATAGGACACAAGAGGACACGGGTGGGTGCTCTAAGATGCTGGGGTGTGGTGTAAATGGAGGAGAGAAATTAACTAATTGATGCCAGGGTAGGAGCAGGGTTTCACACAGAGCAGCTTGGCCTAACGGATTGCTGATTGCTGCTGGATGTGGTTCTGTATAGGGGTCTGGTAGGCTGGTATTGCAGCGTGGAGCGCAATACTGGAAAACCGGAGTGCGTGTGTGTGTGTGTATGTGTGTGTGTGTGTGTGTGTGTGTGTGTGTGTGTGTATATATGTATATGTGTGTGTGTGTGTGTGTGTGTGTGTGAGTGTGTGTGTTTGTGTGTGTGTGTGTGTGTGTGTGTGTGTGTGTGTGTGTGTGTGTGTGTGTGTGTGTGTGTGTGTGTGTGTGTGTGTGTGTGTGTGTGTGTGTGTGTGTAGATGTGTGTAGATGTAAGTGTGTACTTGAGTTCCAGCATTTGTGGTTGTGTACATTTGGAACAGCCTATAAGGCAAGCATATTGATCAGTATTGGGTTGAGAGACTCTTTGTGTCTCTACACAATGCATCTGCCTATATCTGTAGTCAAGTACTCAGTCCATCTATGTGTCAGCACCGCAGAGAGAATGTTGCTTCCCTTCGTGCTAATTTTGGTGCTGTCATAGATGCTGATCCTGATGATATTGAGTCCTATTTGTTAGTGGCAAAATAGTGCTCTACTCTCTTATGCAAAGTATATTGATCTTCAGCGTTGAAGGACACTAAGACTGTCGACTCGATTATTTATTGACTAGTTGAGGGAATGGCACTGAAGGGAAAACGTCTGAAGCAAAAATTGACTGTGACCCCGAGGCCTCAAACCAGGGACGTTCACTTGAGGCCAGTGATGCTCTAACCACTGAGCTATGGCGTAGTTGTCATCCCAGCAGAGACCGTTCAACATTCTCTTCAGGCCTCACGCTATTATTATTGAATTTCTGGGCATGACCCTGCCTGTGCGCCCACTATGCGATGTTGGTCAGGTCACACACCAAACTACGAAGTTTCGGTGTGTGTAGTGCGACCGGCCTGGAGTTGTGTGAATCCTGTTGCATGTGTGTTTGGGTCGTTGAAGTCACGAAAATGGGCGTATAATCAGGTGTTCTCAGGCGATGGGCCTGCCTCCAAAGCTAAAATCTGCTGGGCCTAGGTATGTTTTCCAACACTTGCTGTTGCCTTGTCAGCTGCAAGTTGCAAACAAGCTGGCAGTTTGTGGACAGTTCATGCACAACTGTGGGTATTTATGGCATCAGGTCTTGATTGAACTAAGGCCATCCCTACTGGACATTCCATTGTCTTTTGGGCTAGCCTTGCTCCACAGATCTGAATCGGCTAGCCTTGCTGCACAGATCTGCATCATGCAACACAGTGTATGCTGGTGGGATGGCAACACTATCATTCATCAACTGTAAAGATCAATGCATGCTGATTATATTGCTTGCATTGATTTCCAGACGGCTGTCATTTGCGGTGATCAGCTTCTCATAGAAAAAGTAAAACTCAGCCCTTATACCCCCCCCCCCCCCCCCCCCCCCACCCCCACACACACCCTCTGCTACATTGCAAGCTCACAAGCTATTGTACTGAGAGGAGTGAGTAGCGTATTTTTGGCGTATCAGCTGCATCAATAATTCCCCTTTGAAAAGCTGGTGCGGCTAATACTAAAATGGTCGTTGGGCTAATGCACTGGTCCCCGTGATCTCTCAGTGGGTCCTCTTTAGCCTGTTAGAGCAGTCTTGTAATAGTCATTATCCCATGGTGTGATACAGCATGGGCGATGTCAGCCAATCAGCGGCCGTTCTGCGGGGGGGGGGGGGGTATATAGAGCGATATGATCTGCTGGGGTCAAAAGTATACCCCGCTACGTTCACACAGTTCACGCCGAAAGGTGTGAGCTTTTTAGTGTTGGTCACGCTATATTTGGGACAGTACGATAGGCTAGATGGATATACCATTCGTACCCTGTGTATTCTCCGTCCCTCATATTTTCCCTTGTGCTGACACACCCGTGGATAAATTCGGCAGTAACCCCTCATACTCATGGTATAATCCACACAATTCTGCTTCGATATCTGTTTGTGTGCGCTGCAGGCATCGAGTATTGCCAAGCTGAGCTTCACTTCTGAGTCGCCATTGGATACAGCCATCATCTCCATACCTTCCTCTGGTAGCAACGACTTTCTTCAGCACATTCCCTGCAGTTCACAGTTCATGCTATCCAGTGGGATCGAGCAGCATCCAGTCTGTGTGCTAATGGTTGCACTGGATGGAAAGGTACATCTTATGTTATACCTCTGTGCTGTGTGGTGTAATGGGGAATATTGCATGACAACTTCCGACAACTACATCATGCTACGAACTCTTGAGTGGTGGTACATGTAGCACGATGTCGACAGAATTGTTATGCCCAGAATCTACCCGTAGTTGGTGCGTTCCACGCGTCTCAGTGGCGGTGATGTCGAGACTACGATGGTTGTCTGACTGTACTTGTGCTCTTTTATCACTTTTGAATTTCAGAGCATTGTCCCCACATTCCTGAAGTGATTTAAAAAAATATTTTTTATTTAGAGCCACGTAAACCCGCCATGTGTGAGCCATGAATAAGGGGAGTGGTGGCGTGGTCTGGGATGACCTTGGGTCTCGGCTTCATCACAACCAGGCGCACCAATGTCAATGAATATTATGGTATATCTTCCCCCTGTATCCAGATTGAGCTACTGGTGGAGCCGCCTCTACCTGCTGTTATGAAACTTCAGCTACAACTATTGGCTGCTGAAGGTCAACAGGTGGGTTGAACGCCACTATGACAATTCACAATCCATTTGTAGCCATGTACTTCTGTCTTTTAGCTATGTAAATGTAAATTCCCTCTAATTCGAATACCGTGTGATTCGAGCGTCACTCCCTCCTTTCCTCCCTCCCTCCCGCCGTCTCTCACTCTCTCTCTCTCTCTCTCT